ACCAAAAAAAAAAGACATTATTAAAACCCATTTTTACCCGCAAGCCTCTCTCTAGAGCAGTCCAAACCATGCTAGCAGTAGGGCCATTCAAGAAAACATGGCCAATAGTCTCAGCATGATAATAACATTGATACTTAGAAACCAAATAATTTTCTTTCTCTTGTAACATGTTATTAACAAGAATATAGCCTTTTAAGATTCTCCAAGCTAACATAAAAGAATTTAGAGTAAAGGAATTCCAAATTTTACCAAATATATATAGGACTAGTATCTTTTTTTATTCTAAAAAATTGCCATATTTTACTTAGCTAAAGTCACCTTCCTTAGATAAATTAAACATAATTTGATCATTACAATTAATGTTAATAGAAATGTCACACAAGTTATCCACCAAACTTTGAAGAATAAAAAGAAGAAGATGAATTTTAGACCAAGAATCATTACTGATGGACCAAGAAACTTTTAATGAGGAGATAGAATGAGTGTTAAAGTGTGTGTCAAAAGCCCAGCACTAGACTAATCATCCTACCAAAAATAGGTTGAACCATTCTATATTACAAATTGAATGATAGATTTAGTATACCATTTGATATTGCATAACCTTTTCCACCTAGGAGACTACCCTTGCATAAAAAAATAAGTGATCGGATGCATATTCTTATAATATTTTTATTCATATAATTGGCCCAAAGGGAATCATTTTTCCTAAATTTTCACCACAATGCAAAGGAAAACTATTCACTAAGTAATAAATATATTTACAACTCAAACCCCCTTCCAACAGAGGATTAGTACAAACACCTCAATTAGATCAATGAATGTTTTTAGAGTTAGTAGGGGATCCCAAAAAAGGGACGAAAATAAATAGATGCCATTTAGCTATCTTATGAACTCAACGAGAAAAAAAAAAAAGACTTATTGTTAAAACCCATGTTTACCTACAGGCCTCTCTATAGAGCAGTCCAAACCATTCTAGCAGTAGGGCCATTAAAGAAGACATGGCCAATAGTCTCAACATGATAACAACATTGACACTTAGAAACCAAATAATTATCTTTCTCTTGTAACCTGTTATTAACAAGAATATAGCCTTTTAATATTCTCCATGTTGAGGCTAGTGAATAGGTTGTTAAACCTAAGTTAATGTCCCACAGCTACCAAGAGGGGGGGTGAATTGGTATAAAAAAAAAATATCCCTCTTTTAAATGAGTTGAACCAAAAATAACTTTAGTGAATTTTTATAAAAATGTTTTTCAACCACAACCTTTTTTTTAACAGAAAAATATGGAAAATAAAAACAGTAAAAAATATACGACACAAGATTTATAGTGGTTCAGTCTAAACCAGACCTACATCCACTCCCCAGAGGCACCCTCTGAGTATTGCACTAATACCAATAGTGTCTCTCCTTTTGCACCCGCAGCAAGGTGGAGAAGCCTTTACAAACACTCTTTCCACCACTCCCCGGTGCGGTAGAGACCCGTCGTCCATTTACACTATCCCCAATATTGGAAGAGAACCCTTCATCATTTCACACTCTCCTAGTGTGGGCAGAGAACCCTTCGACTTTTCACACTCTCCTAGTGTGGGCAGAGAACCCTTCGTTCTTTCACACTCTCCTAGTGTGGGCAGAGAACCCTTCATCCTTTCACACTCTACTAGTGTGGACAGAGAACCCAATCTCCTTGACAGATCTCCTCACAAAAAATCTAGAATGAAGAAAGAAAAGAGTGAAGTAATCTCAAATCACAAGTAGGAAATCTTACCTTTGAACACCAAGCAAAGCCTTCACGCTCCTGTAGAAGAAATCCTTCTTTGAATGCTCTCTCTCACTCTCTCCTTGAGTCTTCTTTCAATAGGAATGAAGATCAATAACCAAAAAGATTTAGTGGCAATCTAATTTGGACTATATAAAGGAAAGACAAGAAAAATTTCCCAAAAACTACAAATTTTCAATTCTATACGCAGTGGATCTTCCCGTATGATCGTGGATCGTCCCGGACAATTTTACTTAAAGTGTCGGAAACGATCCTAAAGTATATTTGTACGAACTATGTTCATACATGATCATTCTCCCATACTAATTAGGTTCATCTGGTATAAAACGGTTATTCCATAGGTCAGTTTCCAAATCCCTGCAGGACGTAAACAATTGTGGTAATCAGTTCGGTTCGTCCTAGGACTAACAAATTTCATTCTGGACAATTTTATACAGAGAGTTTCGTCCAGAGACGAAGGTTTTGTTTCGTCCTGTATGATTTTAAACAGGGAGTTTCTTCCAGAGACGAACCATGCATTTCGTCTGGATAAACAGTGCAACGTGAAAATCCACAGGCGTTCATCCTGGGACGAATATTAAATTTGTCCTAGATGATTAAGATTTAGAAAAATTTTCTCACTGCCTGTTCGATCCATTGCTCTTCCGAGGGGTTAATTGACATGATCGTCCCGTACGAACTATGTTCATCCCGTACGATCAGTTCACAAAAGTTATTCCCCCATATGTGTGTGTTGTGAATATTCACTCAATAATAATCACTCTCTCTCAATTCAAAAACATGTTTAAAGCTTTTAATTTACAAATGATTGGATGCTGAATTTAATTTGAAGTCTTCATAGTTTGGAGTTGATTTTCCTGAAATGTTAGTACACACTAGAGCAAAAACAAATCTTCCAAAAAGTGTTAGGTGATATCTATACATAAAATAATAATATTTGTAATCATCAAAATAATACAAGTTGCAAAAAATATAAAACATGCAAATAGCAACTCTCTTAACAATCTGCCCCTTTTTTATGATGGCAAAATAATTATTGTTTGTAGGATTTTAAATTCTAAGAATCTCCAAAACTCCCCCTGAATTGATGAATACATGAAAAATAAGGAGGCTTAAATTCAAAATTTTTATTTTTCAAAAATTTTATACAAAACAAACAAAAAAAAAAATAAAATAAACAAATAATTTCTCCCCCTTTTTGACAACAGCAAAAAGAGAAGAAGAAAAAAAAAAGTCTTGAAATGTAAGCAGAAGTATGAAATTCATTTGATAATTTAAACTTGAAAGTGATTGAAATAAGTTATGCAAATAAAATTAAAACATTAGAGAAATCATAGAATTTCATATAATTTAAGAAGTGTTATAACATAGATAATATAAAGAATTTATCGAAGGCATGAGTCAATTTAGACACTAAGATAAAGAAAATTATTGCACTAAGGATGAATAAAAAATTTATATTTTAAAGTTCAATTTGAATTAAGAGATTAAAAGAGTTTGGAAAGAAGTAACTACCATATGTGGTGCTTTGTGCATCTTTTTCAATTTTATGGCACATTTTTATGCATCTTTTTTAATTTTATGGCACATTTTTGTGCATCTTTTTACTTTGAGCTTATTTTGTGCCTCTTTTTCTCATTGCAAACTTTTGCGCATTCGTTTTGATTTTTGTACATTTGTATAATTTTCAAGAGTAATTAAATTCTTTTCAAAATCAATAATCTAAAATTTCAAATTTTTCTAAAAGCATAAATACTATTTGAAAAGAAAAATACAAAATTAGAAAGCATCTAAATTGTAATAATAATATTAAAGATAATGTAGTCTAAATAAAGACATGAAATTGAAAATTCTAATAATATCAAGTTATAAGCATCACTTAAATTTAGAATAATTAGATTTTCTAATGAAATTAATTTTAATTTACAATTTAGATTAAAGCACTATTAATATTAAAAAATAATGAATGTCGTAAAGTCTAACACATTTCTAAAATAATTAAACAATAAAATATTGAAATATATATTGATATCGAATGAAGATATTACAATTTAGTCCAAGATATTAATAAAAACACATCTAAAGACAAATGAAATATGATAATCTAAAAGAA